TTAGTTGTTTGGTCTTGCCCCCTCAAAAAATATTCTTACCCATCTGAGGCATTTTCCACATATTTTCTTCTAGTACTTTCAGAGTTTCAGGTATTATTATTTAACTCTATGTTGAACTGGCTTTTTTCTCTTGCTTTCTCTGGTTTTAATTGAGCTTTTTATAGGATTCTATTTTTTGTTGTTGTTCTTTTAGTTTATAAAACAGACTTCTTATAAATTTTTCCCATGGTCTTTCTAAAATTCACATCATAAATGTACAAGTCACCTAAATTCAGTTGAAATAATGTTATACTGCTTCTGCCTTGCAAGAAATGTTAAAAGAAGTTCTTCAGTAGGAAGCTAAAGGATAATGGTCGGAAGCTTGAGACTACATCAAGAATGGAAGAGTATTAGAGAAGAAATATATGAAGAAAAAGGATGTTTTTCACTTTTCTTATTCTCAATAGATTTTAAAAGATACAATTTTGTTCCAAATAATAATAGTAAAAATACATTTAGTGATGATAGCATAGAATGACAGCAATTTCATAAGAGACAGGAAAAAGAAATTGAGTTGATTTTTGTAACTGGTAAGAGGCCTCTAGTTTCATTCTTCTACATGTGAATATTCTGTTTTCCCAGGGCCATTTATTGAAAGGATTCTATTTTCTCTACTGTGAGTTCTTAGCACCTTTGTCAAAAGTTAGTTGGCAATACATGTGTGGGTTTATTTCTGTTCCATTCACCAATGTTTCTGTTTTTACACCAATGATGCTATTTTGATTACTGCAACTTTGTAGTATAGTTTAAAGTCTTGTGGTATAATGCCTTCTGTTCTTTTTGCTTTAAGATTGCTTTGGCTATTGAAGGATTGTGTGTGTGTGTGTGTGTGTGTGTGTGTCTGTTTTTACAAAATTTCAATTATTTTTCTCATTCTGTGCAAAATGTCATTGTTATTTTAATACAGATTGCAACAGTTCAATAAATCACTTTAGTAGTATGGACCTTTTAACAATATTGATTCATTCAATTCTGTCTTTCCATTTCTTTGTGTGTTCTCTTCTCTCCCTTTCTTTCTTTTTTTTTTGATTCTTTTTTTATTATTAGTTGTTCAAAACATTACAAAGCTCTTGACATATCAT